TGCAGGAGCACCGACCCGCACCCACAGGCTCAAAAGTCTCGCGAGAGTCGGTCTTGCTTTACTGCGAGAACTGCTACACGCCCCCAGTTAAAAGCATGCTCGTTGCTAGCACAGTGGCGATCTATGTGCAGCGCTGCTTTCACACCGGACGCAGCAAAAGCAGCAAAATTGCGTCTGCTGCTTCATTTTTGCTGCTTGTATCAGTTAGTTCTGACATCTGCGCACCAGAGCAGCAAAGCTGCTTCAGCCGCGCGGTGCAAAAGTGTGTCTGACCCGCGTTGGGCGGAGCTTCACTATCCTTTCTCTGCCTTGCAGCTATATTTGCTGTGATCAGTGGGAATAAAGTAGTTTTAATACGTTTTTAAGTGAGAAAATCCACCTGAAAACTTCATCAGTACAGTCAGTTCCTCCAGATTACAATCCTGCCTTCCAATATTTTTTCTGTCGGAGCCATTCAGACCCCCACATAGCAGCGGTGCGCCGACAGTAGGAATCCCTTCATCAGCAGCCTCTGGCTGGGTCGCCTCCTCGCGGTTCACGGCGGCAGCTGGTAGGTGTTTTTCATCTAAATAATCCAAACTGCAGGCAGCAGGATAATAAAAGCGAACATATTCTGCAGGCAGATTTCTGCATTTTAAGTTAATTTAGGCGTCAATAAACTGTTTGAAAGGAGTGATCATAGCGCTCTGATCATCAGTGCTGTGTCTCTCTCCCTGCCAGCTCCCAGATCAGCTTCTCTGAATGGTTGACGCGGCGCATCGAGCAGCAAAAATTAAATTTTTCCATCACACGCGTCAGATGCTTAAACGCGCCCGACGCACTGCTTCAGCTGCTCAGACGCGCTGCGCCTGCTGCTCAAAACGCGCCGTGGGACCTTTTGCTGTGCCTTGACGCGCGTCAACCATTGACTTTGCATGTAAACTCGCTGCTTCTGTCGCGCCAGCTGCGTTCGCCTGTCTGCTAAGCTCAAAACAACCGCACCCGGCTTGACGGAGAAACCAGGAGAACAGCTGTGCATATTTACGACAGTGCACTTTTACTTTCGCCCTCTGGGGGGAGCCTCGCTGGAAAATCAACACCGGTTGCATAGTGTACCTTTAAGGCTTTATATGTGAGAAGGAGGATTTTAAATTATATTCTGGATTTAACAGGAAGCCAATGAAAAGAAGCCAGGATAGGAGAGATATGATCTCCCTTTTTCATTTTCATCAGAACTCTGGCTGCAGCATTTTGGATCAGCTGAAGGCTTTTAGACATTGAAAGTAATAAAGATAAGCTGCTAAGCAAGAACAAAGCCGATAAGCATTGAACTAGATTTACAGATAGGGAAGTAACTTGTTTACTGATAATAATAGAGGCAACCTTTGCTCCTTGTACATAGAGGAAGTATGAGTGGCGCTGGTGACTTGCTGGGTAATAACAAGCTGAGCAATAAGTCACACTCTCACTTGTGCTCCTCCACAATCAGAATGGATGTGAGGAGGAGGCTCAGGCGCCAGGGCAGGTCATCGTCTGTCTGCCCTCATCTGTCTTAAGACGTGGTGACATGTGGTCTGATTTCTAAGAAAGAGCAGGATGCAGGGCCAGAGGAAGTCAGATGATTCACCCAAGGGTGACAGAAAACAGCAGGCTGCCTGGGGGGGGGGGGGGGGGGGGGCTGTTTGTTTAGGTTTTGATCTGTAAACCCAAATATCACTTTGGGTTTGGATGAGACGAGTCTTTCCTTATTCTGTGTTGCTGTTTACCAGCTGTTTAAATCACCAGATGTGATGTTAGAAAATATCTGGATCCACTTTCACACTGTTTCTCCCTCCACTGCAAAAAAAAAAGCTTCCTTTGCTATTTAAGTTTTTACACATTTAACGGGTACCTGGAAACTTTGAGTTCTTTAAAAAATATATATCAGCAATATTTATTGTTGATTTTACTCAAGTCTTAATGTTAATGGCTATTTTGATTTTGTTTTTTTAGCTTAGAAATGTGCTATATATATATATATATATATATATATATATATAACATTTATTTATCCTTACAGATTTACTGTAAGGGTAAATTTACTGTAATGTTTGAATAATAAAAAAAAAAAAAAAAAAAACTGCAATCAAGCGTTTGCACAGTACTTTTACATTGCTATGAATGAGTTTTGTCATCTTAATCTCTTTAGCATGCGTTAATTTAGCCACATTGAAGTTTTTTTTTCACTATAAACTTTAAGGTTATGCCATGGTATGTTGATAAGATACAAGTCTGGACTTTGACTCAGGATATCCACAATTCATAATCTAACAACTTCACCACATTGGCCAGCTTGATTTGGAAAGCTTCTACTTCCTTGATAAATAAATATAACTGAAAACAGGCGTTTTTTTGTATTTCTCAGGTTTTCTACTCTATTTCTTCCCTCCCTGGTTCATTCTCGTCTGCTTTGAAACTTTTATTTTGCTTTTTATGCTTATTATTTATTTTTGGGTGCTTTGGTTTTGTCCCATCTATTTATTTTTGTCAGTGTAATTCCCAAATATTTCCATTGTGGGACAATGAAGCTATTCTATTCTATTCTATATTTTTTGCTCTATATACCTTTATAACAGATAACATGAGGCTGAATGTTTTCTTTTTTCATAAGCAGGATAATTAAAAAACTTTTTACACCTAACACTTTTAAAATATTTTACTTATCTTACTCTTAAAGTCATAAAAGAACACTGATGGACGTTTGTGTGATTTCAAACCTTTTGATAAATTTTGAAAGTGTGGCTCCCAATGGTTGCCAACAATTTAGTTGTGTGCAAGAGGTTTACTACAAAAGATTAATTTCGAATCCTCAACTGAAAGAAGCAAATCTGCTGAATTTGCAGGTTTGTTTTTTTAAGCAGAAGCTTGTTTAGGTGAAAACTCCCTACTTCCTGTTCTTTGCTATATGCTGTTAACTCTGATTTGACCACTAGGATGTGTGTCTGTAGAAGCACTTTTCTTGAGTTTGCACATTTTACAAACATCAATAGAACATTATGACCGTTAAAAGATGTATATAAAAATAATAAGAATAAAAAGATATATATACAAATACCAATGTGTTGACAGAAGTTCTATTGGAAACAGCATGTCCTTGTGTTAGTCGAGAGTTAACTTAGATCTTCTTTATCCAAAGTAATTACTGGCTTCAAAGCAGACAATCATATTTTTATTGAGCAATGAACCCATTTTCATTGCATTGATAAGGTTTTTTTGGTGAGTACAAAGTTTCTTTACAAAGGTATATTTCATTGTGTCATTTGGAAACAATGAGGGACTGTTAGCTGTGAAAGACTGGCGACCTCTCCAGGGTTTACCCCGCCTCTCATCATAGACTGCACCAGCCCCACCGCCATCCTGATGGAATAAGTAGGGGAGGATGGATGGATGGATGGATGGATGGATGGATGGATGGAGAGACTATTAGCAGAAAAACAGGTCTAAAGGACTGTTTTTCAGTGTAGTCCTGTTTTTTTGACTGTGACTAACTGGATGTGCTCTCTTTATCCTTTGACATTGGAGCTGGCTCGGAGCTCGTCTGCCTGGCTGTGTGTTTCCTGGACCGGGCCGCCTTTTACAGCTGCCTTTTGTATCTATGCTTCTTTTTCTATGTCTGCTTCTGTCTCCTTGAACCCCAGTCGGCCTCAGCAGATGGCCGCTCACACTGAGCCTGGTTGTGCAGGAGAGAGTTAGGTATGTAGAAAGACAAAAAAAACAAACATCAAATATGTCATACCATATATAATAAACATTAACAGATGCTGAACAACCACCATCAAGCTTTAAAAAAATTATGTCATAAAAGGTGAGTAATGTTTCATTTTTTTTTAATATAGCATTTTCATGTTGGGAAAACTCATTCAGTTCTAGGATTTATTTATTTTTTACCTTTTCTATTAAAGGTAATCAATGTTTTATTTCTACAGTATGCTGACTGTATTCTTTCTAAATCATGTTATATATTCTTTTATAAGAATCTTGTATGACAGAAGTAATAAAAAAGAAAGTTAAATTAAGCAAATAAAGTATCAACATTATATGAAAAGCAAACAAGCATTATGCTAAGACAAAGATAAAAACTGATGATGTTTCTTTTTTTTGCTGTTTGAACTTGACCCATACCTAGAATTAATTAATAAAGACTAAACACACCGAAATAAAATTAAGATTAATTGCCCTAGAATATTAAAATCCAGGAGGAGTACCCTGATTTGACTTCTTTACACCTGGCATTGCACAACTCATGATCTATTAAGCAGTTCAAACCAGAAGACAAGACAAAGGCAGACAGCCTGGCTGGTTGAACAAATCAGAGGGGAATATTTTTAGCACCATGTTCACCAAAGCAGGGAGAAACGGGCTGTTTGATGCTCTTTGCACAGTGTGCATGGATGCTGAGCCACGGATGATGACATGAAGACCTGTGAGAATCGAGTTATAAACATTACATGAAAGCTGCCAGTTTGATTTAGAGCATCTAATGTTTTGATGCGCTCACATTCCATCAAAGTGCAAGTTGGAAATATATTTTCCTGCAGCGTCGCTTTTATATAGAAACTATACTGCAATATATTTTCCACTTTGAATAAATGAATTGTGACGGGATTTTATTTTTCTGCGTGTAATGAAGGTCACGGCCAGTGCACATCTAAATAAAACAAAGCAGATAATCCAAGTGGCCCAGAGCTCACCGTAGGACGCCGATGGCATTTCAATGGGAACAGCTGATGCACACAATAGCCGACTAGCAGCTTATGTGAAGGTGACAGGTTGATCATCCAAGTTTACATATCGGTACACACCTATACCTCATGTCAGCGGATGTGATGCCCAAATAAGTTGTTCTCCTTCTTTTTAAGCTTTTGTTTCGACAGATGCCACTGTTACAGCGGATAACAGCCCTAATAATAGTCCATTCTCCCGTGTGTCTGTGATTTAATGTAGCAACAGTTTGATGTGTGGCTGAGAGCAGCTTGTCCTACCTGTGGAGCAGAACAGGTGACCGTGGAGACGTGCGCGATAGACGGCCGCTCAACAATGAAGTGCGCTTCGCAGGAAGAAAAACAAAGCAGTCCGAAGTTGGAATTAGCCGCCTGCCACCATCTTCAGCCTGACAGACAGAGGAGGGGGGTGAGGGTGAAAAAGTGCGCTGTGTCAGCGAGTCCGTCCAATATGGCACATTACAGCGACTCAAAGCCCTGTCTGACGGGTCTGCTACTTTAGAATAACTACTTTCCTTTCCAGCATGGGGCAACCAAGCCACTGTATAAAATAAGTATTCTTATAACAGTGGAAAGTACAAAAAATAATAATAATAAAATAACAATAAAAACACGTTTCCCTAGAGATCTTTGCCAATTAGCATGAATATATAAATAATCTAATAAGAAGGGGACAAACAGGCTCGGTAATCTTCATAATAAAGACACTGATTTATCAGTAGAAACATTTTAAAAAGACTTCCCTTCTTTCCAGTGTTGGCAGTGAGATATAATTTACTTTTGTCCCAGACTAAATTACTGACAAGAATTTACAGGATAAAAAGCGGCCTGAAACAAAAACAGCAGTTGTAGATGTGTAATAAATGTAGTCGGTTGTGATCATCACCTGCAAGTATAGAGAATATAGTTTGAATCGGACATGCAAGCAGCACAAATGTCGGTTTTAACTGCACAAATCAGCACAAATGAAGCACTAAAAAATGAGACCACTTTGGATCAAATCGGAGCTTGATGGGGGGATGGTGATGTCATCAGCCAAAAAAATTAAAATGATTATATCTTAAAAAGTAAAGCAGCACAAATGTCGGTTTTAACTGCACAAATCAGCACAAACGAAGCACTAAAAAATGAGACCACTTTGGATCAAATCGGAGCTTGATGGGGGGATGGTGATGTCAGCCAAAAAAATTAAAATGATTATATCTTAAAAAGTAAAGCAGCACAAATGTCGGTTTTAACTGCACAAATCAGCACAAACGAAGCACTAAAAAATGAGACCACTTTGGATCAAATCGGAGCTTGATGGGGGGATGGTGATGTCATCAGCCAAAAAAATTAAAATAATTATATCTTAAAAAGTAAAGCAGCACAAATGACCGTTTTAACTGCACAAATCAGCACAAACGAAGCACTAAAAAATGAGACCACTTTGGATCAAATCGGAGCTTGATGGGGGGATGGTGATGTCATCAGCCAAAAAAATTAAAATAATTATATCTTAAAAAGTAAAGCAGCACAAATGACCGTTTTAACTGCACAAATCAGCACAAACGAAGCACTAAAAAATGAGACCACTTTGGATCAAATCGGAGCTTGATGGGGGGATGGTGATGTCATCAGCCAAAAAAATTAAAATAATTATATCTTAAAAAGTAAAGCAGCACAAATGACCGTTTTAACTGCACAAATCAGCACAAACGAAGCACTAAAAAATGAGACCACTTTGGATCAAATCGGAGCTTGATGGGGGGATGGTGATGTCATCAGCCAAAAAAATTAAAATAATTATATCTTAAAAAGTAAAGCAGCACAAATGTTTGTTTTAACTGCACAAATCAGCACAAACGAAGCACTAAAAAATGAGACCACTTTGGATCAAATCGGAGCTTGATGGGGGGATGGTGACGTCATCAGCCAAAAATTAAAATGATTATATCTTTAAAAGTAAAATAGCACAAATGACCGTTTTAACTGCACAAATCAGCACAAACGAAGCACTAAAAAACGAGACCACTTTGGTTCAAATTGGAGTTTAATGGGGGGATGGTGACCTCTGGATGACCTAAAAAATAATCTTTAATATCTCTTAAACAAAAGTAGCACAAACGATATTTTTTTCTGCACAAATCTGCACTAACGTTGCACTAACCATTCAGTCTATTTGCAGAGTTCTTTGACGTGGGTTGGGTGTCAGCTTCACGCAGCTACAGAGAAAAGCTTCAAGATGCGCACACTTAATGCGCGGGCACGAGAGGGAGGAGTCTTAGAAATAAAAGCAGGAGAGAGGAGGGAGGAGGGAACTGTATGAAATGTTCTTCTGATGGACCACAGGTGGTTCTCTACGGAAGAGGATTAGGGCCACTGAAAAAAAAAAAAAAAAAAAAAAGTTAACCGATTTTTAAATTTTATATCAGTTTAGTATGGGGACAAAAGTCATAATTCTGACTTTAATCTCTGAATTCTGACTTTTTTCTCTGAATTCTGACAATAAAAAAGTCAGAATTTTGAGATTAAAGTGAGAATTCTGAGATTAAAGTCAGAGTTCTGAGATTAAAGTCAGAATTCTGAGATTAAAGTCAGAATTCTGACTTTATTCCCATACTAAACTGAAATAAAAATTTAAAAATCAGTTAATTTTTTCCCTCTTCCGTAGGTTCTCACTTAATCAGAATAGGATTAAAAAGTTCCTTTGACAGTCATTTTGATCAAAAGGGGAAACTAGTTCTTCTCAAACACACACATCCGATCACGTTTCTCTATCCTTGTGGGTACTCTCCATCCACGTAGTTTCTAACCCATTTTACAGCCTAACTCTCAGAGGCGTAGCCAGAATTTTTAATAAGGGTGGCCAGGCAATAACCAATGTACACTGAGGGGTTAGAAAAAAAAGGTTGATTTTTATAGCCGACTGGACATTTTCCCATTCCTTGGAACCCTCCAAACTCAAAAATCACAATAATGTCGTTCTCAGATAGTGCTTATGCCTGCCCCAAAGGCGCTCAAGTTATAACCGTCTAGATAGCGAAAAACAGAGATTTTTAGACTATGAGTATGCTATGACTTCTAAAATAATAGACATACAAAGTTGGCAATAATACCATTTAAAATCTAATAGAATTATCTACTAGTCCATGTAAAATTATATACAATTTGTTTTATTTGCATATATTTGTAGATGACATATTTTTATAAAATTCCCATGAAACAGAACATTTAATTTTTCTTGGTATTAATCCAAAAATTAATGACATAGAAATTCAACTCTGAATAAAATAAAGTTATTTTCTTGTTTATACTTTATACAAAGACACTGATATTTTCTTTACTCATGTTGCATCTATTAAATTACGTAAAATGGGTAATTTTGGGAGTAGGGCACAAGTTTTTATTATATATTTTGACGCAATAGCCATGCAATAGCAATAGCCATGCAAAGATGGCAGGAACACCAGAAGAAAGGTACAGGTGCAATTTCATATTTTCCGAAGAGGTCTACTGAGAGGTGGCCCAAAGCAGATAGGCGCCAGAACCTCAGGGTCAATCTACACTGTTCCAAAAGGAAAAATTAACAACCACTACATCCATATTTTCTAAATAAAGACTAACTATACTTTCCTACAGCCTTTGCTAACAAATAGATGCTTATATTTAAACATCCATGGTGTCTAAATTGAAGGTATAATGGACAAAAATCTTTCAGGTTTGAGTTATGGGGTGAACATCTTACTCATTGTTATTACTTATCTACTTTTATCAAATTATCGTTCTATATATAAATTAATATTTACATACTAATACTTACATTATATGGATTACGTAATAAGTTATTATTAAAGAAGTTATTTACCAAAGACTTCTAGATGACTATATCTATATTTCTATGTTGGAGATCGGCCTGTTTTTCAGTGTAGTCCTGTTTTTCTGACTGTGACTGTCTGGATGTGCTCTCTTCATCCTCTGACATGGGAGCTGGCTCGGAGCTCGTCTGCCTGGCTGAGTGTTTCCTGGACGGGGCCGCCTTTTACAGTTGCCTTTTCTGTCTGCTTCTGTCTCCTTGAACCCCAGTCGGCCTCAGCAGATGGCAGCTCACACTGAGGCTGGTTCTGGTTAGACTTCTGTGTTAAAAGGGATTTTTTCCTTTCCACTGTCGCTACAAGCATGCTTAGTGTGAGGGATTGCAATGATGAGATGAGTCGATGCAATCAGCTGGTTTTCCTTAGATTGAAAACTTTGAATCAATCTGACTGGATGATCTGGTGAACTGGAAAGTGCCTTGAGATGACGTGTTGTGAATTGGCGCTATATGAATAAACTGAATTTAAATGAATTTATCTTTGATGTTAGTAGGTATATTAATGTGTATAATAAACCACAGTGTTTTTGTTGTCAAGTAACTGTTAACATATGAAAATATTGAATGTTAAATAAGTTAGAACATTCCACTTGAGAGTATTACTGCTGCCACTGTCTGTATTAGATGAGAAAAATGGTGGGGGTTGCCACAGGTTGGCCAATGATTGGCTAAGGGTGGCCATGGCCACCTCTGGCCCCCCATCTACCTCTGCCCCTGCTTACTGTGACCCTAAACCTAACCATTATGGGTTCCTACCTAAAGCCTAACCATAACCTAAGCTCAATTCATTCCTTCAAACGTAACACCTAAGCATAAAACAGTATTTGTACCCATGGGGACCAGGTATTGATCTTTACTTTATTACTAAAGGGAAATTAGATTTTACAGTAACTCATTTTTTTAAATGAGATGATATAGATGTAGGCAGTATGGATCTTCTAACAGTCTATTTTGCACAGGATCTGGAGAATTCTCTTATTAAAGAAACTGTCATTGTTTTAGAAACTTGTGAAGCTGATGCTCACTGTTGTCCATCATGATAACAATATAATATTACTAATCCAAAAGCATAATGGTAATAATATGAACCATAGCTTTATCTTCTCAGATGACATCACTGTATATTCCACGAGTAAACGTTTTTTTTTATATTTTTAAAAAATTGAATATTAAGGAATAACAATCACTTGTAAACTAGAATAACAGGTAAAATTACAGGGCAGGAAGTACAAAGCAGAATCTGGGTAAATATCCTATTGTTTCTCATTAAGTTAAAAACTATAAAACTCAACATTTAAATCAGTATTATGACCAAGCAGTCTCATTAGGATTAAGTGCTATCTCATTATTAAGACTTAAAATATAATTATGGAACATATGGAGATTGTATCGTATTTGTTATTTATTTATTTTTTTGTTTATGTATTAAGGTAGAATGGGCTTTAATTTTAAACCTAGACTCGAGTTATAGTAATAAAATATATTTTTCTATCCAAGTGGCCTGATGCCAGCCTCAGGTCTCAAAGACCAAGGCCAAGTGAACTAATGGAAAGCATAAAACCCCTGGACTGTTGAGCAAATTCGATGTTATGTTATTGTTTCTGTGCTGTGGTTACAGTAGTGAATCTGTTGTTT